ATAGCACTATTTTGTTACGTGAAGAAAACACCATGAATCATTAAAAATATTCTACCATAATTTATACAACGCAATATTGATAGAACCTAACCTTGTTGAGCACTAGCAGTTTACGTTCCGCTACCTAGGCTTACTGCTTACATCACTTACATAAATAAATAAAAAAAGAGATTGTAAAAATTACGTCTATGTTTTTTAATAGGAAATTCGATAGCTACATTATGCACTTTGCCTTCGAGAGTTGCCTAAAGAACACATCGTTGACAACTTATTAATAAAATGATTTTAATTCGATAAACATGAAAGCGCTGAAGTATCTGACGGTTAAACTCTTGGTCTATTGAAACAATAGCATAGGCGTATATAGCAGGGTGGCTGGGTGGGCCATCCCCAGCCCAGAATCGTCTAGGCTGGATACTTAAGAAATTTCATAAAAAATCATTGAAAACAACTACTTGTAAACATAACGTAGTAACTACTAATTAGTTAATACTACTATCTAAAATTAATAAAAAATATGAACGATAACGAACTGTTTTTTTACGCCAATGAACAATAGTCATGAAATTCTTACTTGCAAATCAAGTTATCTTCAAAATTATTATTTAATATATATATATATATATATATATATATATATATATATATATATAATTACAAATTCTTCAAATTGTATTTAAGATTAAAGGGATTGAACAGCCTTACTGTATTTAGCGTGGACAAGCGAAATGCACTCAAAAGTTAAGGCTTCATTTTAAGGAATTATATGATATTGCTGCGGAATATGAAAAGTCCTTCTTCCACTCCTCAGGCATTTTGCAGCAGATCTGAGTACCTGAGAAGAAGTTCTAAGCGCTTGCAAACTATAAGATAATTTGCATAATTATACAATCCAGATTGGCTTCGCTTTTTTAGGCTAAATATAGAAAGACCTGATGAGTGCGCGTTTAGTGAGATTTTTTATAACAAAAATTCTGTGAATATTGTAGAAATTTAGGAAAGAAGTAATTTTTTATAACCAATAAGCGGGGAAATCGGGACGTCTATTTTAATCTTAAAATTTTAAAGCAATTTTTTTATGAACCCCATTTTTTTAATAGACTGTACCCAAATGGCAATATCTTTTCGTTTTGTTTTGTAACTATAATTTCGTGCATAGAAATTCGAAGATTAATAAAAATCACAAAAACTGTAAACGTTTAAAATTACTAAGTGTTCGACTCTCGAAGGCGCACTAATAATAAAATAAAGCTGGATGAAACCTACCCACTATTAATAACCTTTCTCATCTATAATAAAGGATGGACGAACATATGACTAATTCATTATTGTATTAAGCATTATGAAGTTACACCTTCAGAGACTACATAAAGCTTCATCAATACCCGAGGAAAAGCGGGTTTTTAAAATTCAGGTAATTAGTTTCACCGAGTTTTTAGTTATAAACGTTACCTGAATCCGCGGCCTTATTAGTAGACGTATTGAACGACTAAGTCACAATTGGAACCCGTAAAGCGCTAAAAAGGTGAATAAGTTGTTCCTATTATTGTAATTTAAATACTGAATACTCTATGCAACATATGTTGTACTTATTTATAGATTCTCTTTTATCTTTGCAAATTATCTTAAAACAAATCGGTATGATTTAATAAGATTTTCACCACTCTGACAAAGTTATAAAGTTACTAGGTATATTGTTTTCGAATAGTCTTAAATTCTGTTGATATATTGTTATCTGTTGATATATTACATCATGAGAAAATCAGTTGAATAGTATGACATTATTAGCATATAAATTATTTTTAATTATGATATATTAGTAAAAAATACCAGTTTGTTTGTCTGTTACGTGACATACAAATATTTTATTAGTAGTTAATTATGGTATAAAAGTTGTAATTTTAATATAATGACCATAAATGCCTTAAAGAAACATTTGGTTTTAATTTTGTTAAGGTTATTAAAAAAATAAAATACACACACATTATATCTATAAAGTTATGAGGAAAAGAAAGGTCCTTAGGTTTTTACTTTAAACTATATGGAAGACGAACGAAACGAAGCTTCATATATATAATCTGGCTTTGCAGATTGCAGAACGCTTTTTTACGACAGCTGATGTTGAAGCTTGCCATAATGTGTTCAAACATCTCGTACTTTTAATGTTGCATTAATTTACCCGCTCTCCCGCGGAAGTACCGCAGCGTCACAAAATGGCGGTGAAAAGTAGAAGAATTAACACTGATGCGTCGTATCTGGCTACGATGGTCGTAGACACACTCGTAAAGGTCGGCAAAGCGAATGCAGTCTCATGGATGTAGTAGATGCCAATTGCACGGAATCATCTAGCTTCAGGCCAATAGCGGTACTTTCCAGCCAGGGCCCAAATTTAGGACCCACGCTATTTTTACTGATGATTAATGACTTGCCGTATGTTGCGAGTACCGCTAACTCTCTCATGTTTGCGGATGATCTCGAGCTCTACTTAGGTATTAGAATTTTAAGCCTGCATAATGATATGGATGATGTTTCAGATTGGAGTATCACTAATCGTCTGTCATTTAACTTATCAACTATAAGACGATTACTTTTTCTCGCTAGATATTGTTTATCTGACAGTCTGACACTCAAATAAAAAGAACCGACAAAATTCGTGATTGGGGACCGAAATTGGACAAAAGACAAGACTTTCCTAGTGTCCTATATCTACAGAAAGGCTAATAAAAACTCTTGATTTTACTATGAGAGTTGCATCACAATTTAATAATGTTAAGTTAGCCATTATATTATACAATGCCAATGTACGAAAAAAATTTGAGTACTGAGCTATCGTTTGGAATCCCTACGAAAGGAAATACTCTCTCATGGTAAAGCGATTTCCAAGGTGGATGTACTACGTTCATACGAGTAAGTAACACATATTTAATAAGTGTGGTAGGGCCAAGCAATAGTTTTCGCTGTTGCACGAATGAACAGGTGTGTCCGGGGAAGTTCCACGTTACACAGACCGAAGTAGAAGTGTTATACTTCTGCGTTTCGTCGAGTGCAAGGTATCTGCAACCACAGGGTTGAAAATATCCATGATCGGCAGTTATCACTTCACATCAGGTGAACCGCCAGCTCACTTGCACATAAAAGATATTACATTACATTACCCTGACCTGTACCCTTCATTATTCGTACTAGATATGGTCGGCTTCGACACTGGGTTCGATAAGGACTTTGCTCTGTAAAATGTTCGCGTAGCGTGAAAGTTCAACCTGGCATGGAGAACGATCTGAGCCTTGATCCGTCTGAGCAGACCCCGGGGGAGCTTGTTGCGTAAAATATGAAAGCCAAGCCCACTACCCCGGGTCCCGACAGTGTCCAAAACTATTTGCTTCCTAAAAAGGGCTTCAGACCGAGGTGACGTGAAAAGTTCCACAGTGGGGCGGTTTTAGGGCCACATCTGTGGAAATAGGTAAAGATTGGGCTTGGCGCTTACTTAAAGTGTGTCGAGGTGACATATTACACTGATGATACCCGTGTGACCACCCCGGTGAGGCGCATTCAGCGACTGGGGCTAAAGGTAGCGCTGAGTAAACCTATGTTTTATGGGCTTCGGAACGCGCCACGTGCGAACATCCAGATATGGGTTCTTTAGTGGTTAACCGATCACTTCGGGACTTCCGCATACCTCTGTCGCTCCCCCGATCCGGCGGCAGGGAATCTATGGAATATTTTACCCACGTAAGAAAAACAAGGTAGGGTTTTTTTGTTTTCCATTTACGAAGGTGATCGACGGCGCTTTAGGGATGAATGGTGACTCGGCCGAGATATTTATCCGAGAAGTATAGATCGATGTCATCCGCGAAAACTCACTATGGGGCGTTAGAAAGAGCCAAAAAGAGTGAGTTGCTTAGAGTCAAATGAAGGCGGCATTATATTCGTAACAATAAAATCTTAATCTACCAATTCACAGCAACTTCGTTCAATAAAAATAGTTAACCGATTCTAAAATATTTTTCGTTATACCTACACATTTATTCATGGCGTCACATGCAGTAAACACGTTCGATGTTTCCTTCCATCGCGGTGACTCCCGGTATTGAGAAAAGGGTATTTGTGAATAGAAGAAAATGCTGACTTAAGACGGTAGTTCCCTTTGAAAAGTTTTAAATACCGATAATTTCGCAGACTTGTGTCTCTGCCAGCATGATTTCCCATTAGATATTATAAACTCTTAAAGGAAATTGATGTAACGTAAAGTTTTCAAAAAAATCATATTGCATTTAATTTGTTAATATGTAATTGTTCATTTATAATACTGCGAAAGAGGCTGTATATCATAATTGCAGTAAAAAATATTTTATTAAGGCCTCCTCTGTACAGAGTCAGAGTGTATGAGGGCATAGGCCACATCACAAATTGACTGAGGGTTGACAGACTTCAGATACCCGTTATTTTTTTATTAATTGGACAGCATGCCGGTTTCCTCAAAATGTTATCCTTCGCCAAGTAGCATATTATAAATTATCACTTAAAGTTGCAACAACTGCATCAGTATTTGTGCCATCGGTATCAGGACTCAGGTGCCTCGAGTAGGTATATCGAATTGTAAGCAAGCCCGTGCTCTATGCTATCTTGGCGGTTACGGAACGTATTTGAAAAAAAAAATTGTTTTACTATTTTATACGCAAATACATATCGCTATACGGATACCAAATTAATTTTCAGATTAAAGTGGTGAAAAGCAAACTGCCACACTCACCACTGTAACACGCTGACAAAGCTACTGATAATTCAAATTTTCCAAGGCTTTTTACTATTCCCTAAGAACATTTCGATGTCATAGCATTACTCTAAAGTTTTTTGAAGCTCATTCTTTAAGACTGTGCGATGTAACAATGAGCTGGAGTGTAAATTTATGTACATTGGAACCATCCTCCGAAATACTTTCTTTCCTACAAGGTTTATTTGAAACAAATAAAACGCAATATAATAGCAAATATATATTATTATTCCCCGGTGACATACATATGGACAGACTTGTCAGAAGTAGCTATACGGGAGAAACGAGCAGCACCGAGCAATGCCGCCACGCGCTGCGCGTCATACTTGCAATGTAGCGTTGTCACTGTCATATTACATTCGCTGCCGCCATATTTGTTTTGATTACTCTCCTGTAAAATATTTTTAATAATTTAGTGGAATTATATTGATGAGCGGTATGGTATGCTGGTACCACCACCATACCATTTGACTTATTATTTGTCCAAAAGTTACTGATGATGATGACGTTTGGATGAAGTGTTCAAAAACATTGACTTTTGTCACGTGTATCGTAATTTAGTTATTAATTAATAACAAAATTATTACTGTAGCAACTTATTATTTTAGATTATCCTCCAATATCAATTAGACAAGCTATACTAAAATACAAACAATAATGAATAGAATAAATTATTATACCGTTCTTTGCGAATGGCGCTTCAAGTTGATGTTCAGAATTTTAGTCACGAGTTCAAATCTAATATTCTCATTTCAAACTCATTCTTTTGATTCACTGTTGTTTTGTTGCATTATGTTCTTTGATACATACTTATAATAGCATTGTCAGTCATATTAAATTAATTTCAAATAGATAGTTCATACCTGCATAAGATTGCACATTTCGGAATAATAGTGGGGATATGTAGGCGGTTGGTAAAATATAATGTGGCGGATGCCCTTTATGCGGAACCTCCTGAAGAAGTGCACTCTCTCAGAGTACAAAAGAAAATGTGCCTCGGTGTGGAAGAACATGTCTCTTGCACGCGCTATTTTTGCGTCCTGTCAAAAAATTTAAAGAGTGAAATCGCCATACGCACTAATCTCAGCTTAGCTTAGGTGGTATAGCATGCGCGAAAACATAAGACAAAGGTTTGAGTCTCGCAGCGCAGAAAGATTTTGTTCATTTATCTACAAAAATACACAATTGAAATCGCTATGAATAATATATTTTATTAATATATCGAGCCGTGATAGTCAAGTGTTCGGCCGCTCGATTTTAATTAAATAGACTCGAGGAACTAGAGATCGACTTGCCTTCCTACGCTGCACTTGCCGTCACGTGGTCTCCACTCGAGAACCTTTTTGCCCCAACGGCCATCGGTTCTTCGAGCTATGTGCCCTGCCCACTGCCACTTCAGCCTGCTGACTCGCTCTGCTATGTCGGTAACTCTAGTTCTTCTACGGATCTCCTCATTTCTGATTCGATCTCGTAGAGAAACCCCGAACATTCCCTTTCCATAGCGCGCTGTGCGACCGCGAGCTTCCTTATGAGGCCCATAGTGAGAGACCACGTCTCGGCACCGTAGGTCATCGCTGGTAACACGCACTGGTTAAAGACTTTCGTCTTTAAGGACTGTGGTATTTTGGACGTAAAGACGCTCCGCAATTTCCTGACCGCAGCCCAGCCGAGCTGGATTCGTCGAGTGACCTCCTTCTCGAAGTTGGATTTGCCTTGTTGAACCATTTGTCCCAGATAGACATAGCTGTCAACAACTTCGAGTGGCGAGCCTCCCAACAATACGGGGGTGGGCGTCACATGGACTTTGATCTTTTCCATGTTCATTTTTAGGCCCATCCGCTGTGAGACTCTATTGAAGTCGAGCATTGTGCTGAGCTCCTCCAAAGACTTTGCCATGACTACGATTTCATCGGCAAACTGAAGGTGAGTGATGTATTCGCCGTTGATATTGATGCCACATCCTTTCCAATCCAGAGGCTTGAAGGCGTTTATTTCATAATTTTTATTATTAATTTCTTATTAATTTATTAATTTGTTTAAAATTATACCCCTCTAAAATTATGTCTTGTGCCTATCTAAGAGGTTGGAGTTGGAGTTGGCCCTTACAAATGTTATTTTTGACAGATAAAATACGAATAACTAAATAAATAGAGTCTGAACTGGTAAGTTACAATTTATAAATAAAATTACTACTGCTGCAAATCAGGGGCGTAACTATCTCTACAGATACTAAGAATGGATAAATAAATAATTCCACAATCATACTAAATCACTTAGGTCGTACTTTCCGGAAAAGAAATCATAAGTCATTCGATATTATACACAATATAATAATTTCATACAATAGTAACGGTATGAAATCAACAGTAAAATTATTTTCTAGAGAGATGTAGTACAATTAATATTAAATTTATTTGACCTCAAATTTTATTTTATTTTTCTTCTTGACCTCTCGATACATTTTGATACAGGGCCAATCTAAGGAAAGCTACGCTACTGCTGCTAATATTCCTAACATCTATACAATTTCAGTTCCAGTTACAAATATGCTTCTCAATTCGTATTTTTATGATATCCACATCCCTTTGCTAAAGGATATCTTATCATTATAGATAGATTATAACAATAGTAATGTAATAAATAATCAATTAAAAAGATCAACTTGATTTAAAAAGCTACCTTACTGTAACGGTAACTATTTAACTATTAAAGCATATTATAATATCATAGCTATTATAAAAGCATATTATAATATCAGCCGTGATAGCTCAGTGTCCGGGAGCTTGCCTTTAATTCAATATACTCGAGCAACCTGAGTTCGATCCCGGTGCCGGCACAAATGAAGTTTTTAACTTTAAGTGCTGACTTATCACGTGCTCGGCGGTGAAGGAAAACATCGTGAGGAAACCTGCATATTTTCGAAATAATAACAAAAAAAAAGTTTCGAAGATATATGAAGTCTGTGCCCTGATACTCTCTGTATAGAGGAGGCCTTTGCCCAGCAGTGGGACATGTGTAGGCTGTTACTTTACTTTTACTTTACTATAATATCATACTTTTTTCGTGCCTTCACTTTACAGAACTCCTCCATAACTTCAGTGAAATCAATTTCTTTTGAAACATACAAAGCTACTAGACTTAAAAAGCACCTACTACTTTATTTTTGCAAATGGTTTTTCCTGCGGATCGATTATAATTTTATTTTCCTCATCCATATCCATATTTTATGTATGTTTATTTAAGTCCAATCAAAATTTCTCTTAAACAAACGCTTATACACAATGTGAAGTGTAAAGTTAAGGCCTAGGGCCTAGGGCCTCATTTTAGTTTTGCCGCCCCGAGCCTCTGAAGGGCTTTGTCCGCCACTGCACCTAATTTCGATTTTAATCTAATAACTATGATCAAAATTATTATTGCCTCCAGTGAAATGTTAAGCTATTAGTCGCCATAGAAATGAGACAAACCTTAGAGTATTCGCATATTTGGACGAAACCAATGTCCTCCTTTTTGAAATAATTCCTTATTCGGACGAAATCAAAGTAGCTCGGCACGTATATCAGCGTGTGACTCATCAAAGTGTCGCGTTGCTTTGGCAGGATCTCCTTTATGAAATATTCAAACCTGCTGTCCACCGCTGCGAGGGGCGAAGTCGCATTAAATCTAAAACAATAAAACATTGTATGGGTAAATTAAAAATGAAAGAAATAGTCATTTCAGGAAGGACAGAATCATGAATTAAAAATATTCCTTGGAAAAAAAAACGAAATATAATAAAAATAAGGTCTCATCGCACATTGATAAGAGTGTCACTATCCAAAAAAGCAGTTTTGTTCAGTAGAAGCATTTACAGTTTTACTCAACAGTAATTGTTTTGATCAAGAAAGAATAAAAAAATTATGTAATTTTATGGTTTTTATTGCAGAGGGCATTAAGCGCGACTGAAATGCATTCTCTTTTTCTGAAAAAGTGTTTTTAATATAAGTAATTTTTCCAAAAAAAAACTTTTTAGTGACGTTATTCAAATAATTAAAAACTTCAGCATTGCTTACTTCATGACAACTTACCGACACAATAACAATAGAAAAAATTTAATTACGCAAAGAAAAATCACTTTTTATTTATAAAATCTTATCCTTTAAACGAGCAATTCGCCCCAAAACAGACGGCCGTGGTTCGTATAACGATCATTTACACACTTTTTTTTTCACTTTTTTTTCTATACCAGATCATTTTCTTTATTTTCTATTTTTTTTATTTCCAAAATACATAATTTACGAAAAAAGAACCGAGCAAAGCTCGGTCCTCCAGGTACTATATTTTAAAGCAAGGTTTAATTCGAAATACTTAAACATTGACCTACCTGCGTCTGGAACAGCTGGCTAAATAACATTTTTTAAACATTTTAAGACTAATATAAAATTATAACACTTTAAAAATCTCAGTTTCTAAAAAATAAAATAAAAACCTAAAAATAATTATGTAAATATGAAAATAAAAACAAAGTTCAAATGAAAAGCACAACCATGTTTAATTATAAATTTTAATTAAAAATTGAGATCAATAATCTCTCATCAATCAAAATATAAGTATTCTCAAAAAGATTTACAATAAACTTCCGGTAAGCATTAAAGAAGAGAAAGAAACTGGTAAATTTAAAACCAAACTCAAAAGCTGGCTATTATTAAAATGTGTTTATGATGTAAAACAATTTTTAAATGAATAAAATCTTGTTGCCTAAATTTGACTTTACTATATTATTTTAGACTTTATTTTTGTGTAATAATTTGTATACTCTTTTGACATTTTAATTTTTAATATTTATAATGATTGACATGATGATTGTAATTTTAATTTAATTTAATTTAATTGAATAATACATAATTAACTTCTTTGCTTGAAATTATTACTATAATTTAAATTTTTTTAATTTATATTTATTTGGTTTAATTTAATATATGTACATAATGAGTATTTTTATTTAAATAACAATTTTCGCATGCCAGATGTGGTAAACATGTGGACTATGTGCAACTATGTGTCACCTCTTATGTACCATGTTTAAGCGAATAAATGATATTATTATTATTATATTACATAGATTTATTCTCGACTCGGTGTCGGTTTTTTCTTTGGCCTAGGATACGGGCATACGCCAAGTATCCTGGTACCATTGTGTTTTATGTTTGTGAATGTTGCTGTGTGTTTGTGTGATTGTGATCTTGAAGTTGGGTTTAAGAATCGGCGTACTATGGAACATGTGTCTAAAACAATTGACTTTTGGAGGGGTATATAAGTGTTATCATGTAGGTCTAAGATTTTAAGCGCTGTTTTAAGTGATTTTGGAATGACACCGGTTGCTGAAATAATGAAGGGGATGATTTTGACTACTTCTTGGTGCCACATCTGTTTAATTTCATCTGCTAAAGGTATGTATTTTTGTATTTTTTCTGATGTTTCTGTTTAAGATTCTGTGTGTTGGGAACAGCAATGTCTATAAGGTAAGTGGTTTTAGTAGATTTTTGGATGAGTGTAATGTCGGGTCTATTGCTGAGGATGGTACGGTCAGTTATTACGTCTCGGTCCCAGTAGAGTTTCGTTGTGCTATTTTCCAGTACATTCTTTGGTTTATATTGGTAGTAGGGGGTGTAAGTTGTCAGAAGTTTGTGTTTTAGTGCAAGCTGTTGGTGTATGTGTTTGGCGACGTTGTTGTGGCGGTGAGTATATTCTTTTTGGGCAAGGAAACCGCATCCTCCTGTGATATGATCTATTGTTTCAGTGGCTTGGTGGCATAACCTACATTTGTCAGTTTCTATTGTTTCTTTAAGGATATATTCAGTATAGTTTCGGGTTTTGATAATTTGGTCCTGTATAGCTATAAGAAAACCTGTTTCACCAAAAATATTGCCTTTTGTGAGCCATGCACAGGATGCCTTCCGATCTATGTGATCTTGTGCTAATTAGTGTGGGTACTTGCCATGTAGTGCTTTACTCTTCCACTTCTCAATTTTTTGTTCTTCTGTATGATTTTTTTGTTTCGGATCATATTGACTGTTACTAAGCTGAAGTGGTGTACCAGGTTTGGGCATGTTAGTAATTGCTTTGTGTAGTGGGCTATCGCTAGACTTTGTGAGAAAATATGATCGTAAGTTGTCTATTTGTGCATAGTGTAAGTTCTTTATGTCTATGAATCCGCGGTCTCCGAGTTCTCTGTTTAGAGTGAATCTTTGTACTGATGAGTGTATGTGGTGAATATTGTGTCTATTGCATGTTGTTCGTGTTGTGGTGTTTAGAGCTTCTAGTTCAGTGTCTGACCATTTAACAATTCCAAAAGAATACGTTAGTATTGGGATGGCGTATGTGTTGACTGCTTTAGTTTTATTTTTTGCTGATAGTTGGGTTTTTAGTATTTTGTTAAGTCTTTGCTTGTATTGAGTTTTTAGTGCGTTTTTTATTTCTGTGTGGTTTATAGATGTACTTTGCAGGTATCCCAAGTATTTGTAAGTTTCTTTAGCCTCCATTTTGTCAATAGTCCCTCCCTGTAACTCTAGGTTGTATGGCTTTGTTTCTTTATGTTGTCCTTTAGTAATGCTGTTAATTTTACATTTATCTGTTCCAAATGTCATTTTAATGTCTACACTAAATTTGTCGGTATGTCTAAGTAAGTGTTCTATATTTTTTCGGTTTGGTGCGTAGAGTTTTATGTCATCCATGTAAAGTAAGTGAGTCAATTTGATGTTGTTCTGTCTGTCAAGTGTATATCCGTAGTCTGTTTTGTTTAATATTCTGGAAAGAGGATTCAGTGCTAGGCAAAACCATAGTGGGCTGAGTGAGTCACCTTGAAATATACCTCGGGCAATTTTTATTTGGTTTGTACTAAGTATCCTTTTGTCAGTTTGTATCTTTAATTTAGTAGTCCAGTTGCTCATTGCACATTGTAGAAACTGTATTAGTGTAGGGTCAATTTTGTATATTTTGAGAATGTGTATTAGCCATGAGTGTGGTACGCTATCAAACGCTTTCTGGTAATCTATATAAGAGTAATATAGATTTCTATGGTTTTGTTTGGCTTGGTTGTGAATCTCGGTATCTATTACAAGCTGTTCTTTGCAGCCTTTCTGTTCTTCCAATATTTGTTTTTGTTGATGTGTGTGGTGAGTTTTTGTGAGATGATGGATGTCAGTAATTTGTAAATTGTAGGTAAACATGTAATCGGTCTATATATAGCAGGATTAGTCGTGTCATTGTCTTTGGGTTTTAAGTAGGTAATGCCTTGGGTTAGGAACGGGGGTATGTCTTGTGGGTTGTGTATGAGATGGTTCAGTGTGTTTGCCATATGTTGGTGTATTGAAGTCAAATATTTCAGCCAGTAGTTCTGTATTTTGTCGGGACCTGGTACTTTCCAATTAAGTGTCCTTTTCGCTGCTTGTGTAACATCATCTTTATCGATAGTAATTTCTGGCATTGCGTTTATGTTTCTGACTTCTTCTTCTTCTATTGTGACCCAGGGTGCATGTAGATTATGTTGTATAGGTGTAGACCATATGTTTTCCCAGTAGTGTTGGACGGTGATGATATCGGGTGGCTGTGTAATCTTTATGTGTTCAGAATTAAGATTTCGGTAGAACAGTTTCTGATTAGTGTTAAATAGATTATTGTCACTTCTTCTTTGGTTGCTAATTTTGTATCGGTGCAGTCGTTTGACGTAGACTTGTAACTTTTGTTTATTATTGTCTAGTTGGTCAAATATTTCGTCTCTGCTTTTATTATGGAGGTTTAACTTTGTTTCGTTTTCTTTGTGTGAGATTCCCGCGAATATTGTGTAATTTGTCCTATTTCTTTTGGCAGCGCTGTGATTCTATTATCTAGTCGTTTCTCCCATTTTGGTTTCTTTGATTTTATCTGTGTTGTACTATTATCAATGTGTGATGTATGAGGGTTTTTGTGTGATGTATGGTATGGTGAGTCGTGCGGTTTTGTGTTCCTGTGTAATGGTGTGTTAGTATTAGGTGATGTATAGTGTGATGTATTAGTATTTTTATTATGATGTGTGTATTGATTATCGTTTGAATTATGCTGTGGAGCGTTACTGCAATTACGTGTTTTATGGTGGGGTGATTTTTGTTTATCTTGTTTTAAATTAATTGCAGTGACGGTAGCTGCTGCGCAATATATAAATGTTTGTACTTCTTCTAAAGTTATTGATTGAATATTCTTTATATGTTTGTCCATTATATCATTGACTGTATTAACCAAGTGTATTACCTTTCGTGTTGTTTGAAGTTTCGGGATGGAGGGTCTCGGGATAGTTTAATTCGGTTTAGTCTCGGATTAGCTCGAAAATAGTTTCGGGTTTCGGGATTGTTATTGAATTATTTTGAGATTCTCGCAAGACCGATTCACTTAACATTTCGTGTTCTGCTTGTGTTGTAGGTTCAAACGATTGCCGTGAGTGCTCAGGAGTGTGTAATGTATGAATTAAGGTGTGTGAACTATAAAGGCTATGGTTTGTGTGTGTGGTTGGTGTTTCGCTATTTGTTTGTGTTTCAGTCGTTTGGTTGTGTAGATTATGATCATTACAATTCGGGGTAGTCTGTAAAACTGATTGCTTAATATTGTCTCTTTCATGTTCTGGTATTCTGTTATTTCTATGTATGACTCTAATTTGATCTGCTAGTCTTTGTTCCGGTAAGTGTCGCAGTTCCGGGAAAATTTGTGTGAATTGTTGATGAAGAAGTGGTCTATAAGCGGTTTGATTGGTTTCACAGTTTGTTACAATGTAGTAGCAACGAAGAAGCTCTCGGTTGATATTATAGGTCCACTTCATTCGTTGCCTTCTTTTTCCAGCAAGGGTGGTTGCAGGACGCATTTGCTGTAAAACACTTCGTGCTGGTGTGTTGGTGTCAATATTTGGTGTGTGTGTATTGTTTACACGATCATTAATTTCGTTAGTTTGTGATATACGCGTGTTGGTGATGTCAATGGTGGGCGCAGGAGGATTAGCAAATGCTTCCTGTGCAACATCGAATGATATAGGTGATACTGTAGTAGATCGTGAAGTGGATGAGTTCTGGTGTGAATAAGAGTGTGGTGATGAATTTGGTGATTGAAACAGGCTCCGTGTGGATGATGTGGGTGATGAAGGGTGTTGGTGTGTGTTGGTCTCGACTACTAATAAGTCGTCTTCTGCAACAGTTCTCATCTGGACAGAGTTATGCGATACGGTGTCCCCCCCAGAATACGTGGGACAGCCTGAGCTTACATGCTCAGGGCGGGATTCTCCGTCGCGGTTAGCTTCGGTACCCGCCTGGGGTAAATATCTACCGTTTCTTAAGCGCATCGCATACTTGTGGTTACTATTGCTCCGTTAGTCTTTGGTAAGTTTTAGCTGAATAGCTGCCAAAGTCCGCCCCTCACGTGATCACAGATGTTCGGATCGGACGTGGAGTTAGGTTCTTGAGGAGCTTATTATTATTATTATTATTAAAGAATTATTATGTAACTATCGAAATAGAAACAAAGTTTGCATGAATATCACAATCATGTGTCATTCTTGTATTTTATAATTAATAATCGAGATCTACAACAGACTCCTAAAAGATATTATCAAAATAAGAGGAAACGTTATAATAAGGTATAAGATTTTGCTCAATCGACGATTTGATGTCGTTTTTCTTTCTTTCAGCTGAAACAAAGTCGTCCCGCTGTCTATCTGTCCCTATGTATGCTTAGATCTTTAAAACTACGCAACGGATTTTGATGCGGTTTTTTACGAGCCTTAGTTGGAGCTACGTATGAGCACATGCGTGAGTTATTTTAAACGTTAGGTATTATATACGGACGGCGTGGTACGGACCGTTACGCATACAGCCAAAGACTGAATTAATGTAAACAATGTTGGCTGGGGATTGGCACCTTCTACACGGTATTCCCTTTAGTGGTGAATGCAGTGAATTGCCAGACCGAAATGGAAGGAACCACCAACAAGTAGTGAGTTTGATGAAAGCGTTATTAAAGGTCTTTTTTTTAAGCCCAAAGTGGAAGGTTAATATTACCAGTTTGAAATTAAGGTTTTTAAATTATTTGCAAACCTGTGAAACAGTTGCGGCACTTGGAGAATAACTTGCTGAATGCTTCCAATTTCACATGGATTTGCCAAAATCACTTTTCCGGCGTAATTCTGACACTTTCTATTCATCACGGACTTTATTTCAGGCAATGAAACTGAGGAGAATGTTAAAGTTTGTCTGAAAAAGAAATACCATAAATTTTATTTGTTTAATGTAAAGACCACAGTCCCATCCTGAGAGACGAAATGGTGCTTGTATGTATTAAAGCAATGAGATAACAACAAATGATACATTTGTGGTAAGATAATGAGATGGGAGCAGCAATAGACAGGTTAGAATAATTTGCTTTAAATCAACAAATTAAAAAAAAAATTCTATAAAAAAAAACGAATTCTCCCACTGGCATAATGAATACCTTTATAGAAACCTGATGTATTGATTAAAGCATAATATAGCTGAGAGAGCATTATGAAAGTAAAAATCATTTTATACATCTGCCAGCATTTAACAATCATTATCAAAAGTAAAACTTACTCGGGTAAACAAGAAAAAACAGCAAACAAAAGTAATACAATTTAACTCACCTGTAATATTTGGACCAACCGTTAACGGCCCATGATCTAACTCTGGAAAAATCCGTATTGTGGGTCTTCTTGGGCTGTAGATGGAGGTGATCCAACACATGCAATAAGTGATCCCAGTTTTGCATAAGAAAAATGTCTGCTTGATCCATTATTAGTATTTCTATGGATGCTAAAAAGTCATAGTCACGGTCCTCTTCACCTTCAGCTCCAACTATCATTCGAAGACCCAGTGGGGAAGCTATTAAAATGTCTGACGAATAAAAGTCTGTGTACAGCTATAAAAAAATTGGGCACTTTTAATGATATGTTAATGCTAGAATTAATATGAAATATACATATATACATAACATAACAAGCTTCTGGTAATAATCAGCTTATAAAGAATTTATCTACATTCGAATACAAATTAACAAAATAATTTTGTTAAGATATATTTATTAAGATTTAATGTTTAGGATTGCCATAATTTGTATTCCTCACATTTTATGGACATGGAATTTACCTTTAGGGTTTTCTTTGTTAAGGTCATACCCAATCTGAAAGTGTCTTCAGTATTGCCGCTAAATAATAACTCATAATCTTCAGGTTTAGGATTTTTGGTAGGCATTAAGAGTTCTCCACCAGTGAAGTCTTCTTCAAACCTCTTTTTATTTACCACCTGACCAGATTCCTTTGGAATTAGGATCTCAATAATGGTCTTCACAACTCTGTATGCAACATCTTTAAATGGTACTAAAATTAAAACCTATAAAAAATGTTACATGTTTTTAAATGACTATATTTGAGAAAAATTAAATAAATTGCATGCAAATGGTTAGTCATTTATTTATTATATATTAATTCTTTGCATTTATTTGTTATTTGTTAAGAGTTATATATTTGTTAAGAGCCGTGATAGCTCAGTGTCCGGGCGCTCGCCTTTAATTCAATATACTCGAGCAACCTGAGTTTGATCCCCGGTGCCGGCATCAATGAAGTTTTTAAAACATCCTGAGGAAACCTGCATATTTTCGAAATAATAACAAAAAAAACATTTTTCGAAGATATGTGAAGTCTGGACTATGCCCTGATACCCTCTATATAGAGGAGGCCTTTGCCCAGCAGTGGGACATGTATAGGCTGTTACTTTACTTTACTTTTACTTTATTTGTTGATTAATGTCAACATGTTAATTGAAATTTTATAGGTAATAAAAACATACATAAATATACCTTAGGCCTCACTAAACCTTGATCCCGATACTCATCAGAGGCTTCTGACTTCCGAGACAGTTTTGTGTTATGATGTAATATTTTTGTACGCGTTTTTAGCATGTGATTTATAACATGTAAACAATATATATAACGGATTTCATCTCCATTAATGTATGTCCTCTCAGGATAATACAGATCTTGGTAATTATTTATAATCGCAAATAGCTCCTTCTGTAATGGAGTGAATATATCTGATAGGTCCAAATCTCTTTTTATAAGATTCGTTTTATTTGCTGACACAATGTTACCATGAATTTGTGATTTTAAAAATAGATTATGAAAGTCTATCAGATTCATAACATGTGGAACAGTTCCCTCAGGTGCATATGTTTTCTCTTCTAAGATAGATATTTTGGGTTTTATTGTTTTGGTAAATTTTTCTACTGGCCTAGGGATAGTTATTACTAAATTTCCAAGCTCGGGCCACATCTTTGTTATGTTCTCTGTTGTGGGAGTTACATTAGATAGAGAAACAAGTAATTCATCACTTAGATCATATTTGTAGTGTTTTGTGAATGGATCATTTGCCACTTCCACTTCTATCTCGTGGTCATATTCCTCTGTTACCTGTATGGAATTTAAAGCAAATAGTACATATCCTGTTCAACATAAATTTTATTTCTACAAAAAAGTCAAAAGTACAATACAAGGGGACAGATAATATGATGATATTATGAGAAAATACTGTATAAGAGTACAGTCTGTAATTTTGTGCTATTAATCATCTGTTGTAATGACGTGCAGCAGCATGTGCTGTTAAAGGGACAGGTTATTTGTATATATCGGAAGTTATAATTAACATTAAGTGAAAAGTTTGCTTGTTTACCAAATCTCACATAAAATACTAAGTACTAGTTTTGGAAAATTTGGTAGGTCAAAGTAATGGACTGAACAAAAAATTGTATTATTAGATTGATGGAGTGATGATAAGAGCTTTTTATTTTAAATTTAAATTTATAATCTTGAATGGGGTAAAAAGCTGCAGCTATTTACACTAGTCACAATTAATGTTCAGCACCAATGTTTATATAACATGACAAATTGAAACTAAAATAAAAAATAAAATGAACTGTCTAGCGTCTTAGATGTTAAATGTACTAGTTCAGAAAAGTCTATTTACTCTAGTGATGAGGACACCCAAAGGATATTTGAACACAAAGGCAGATATCCAGTAGTTTAAGGTTCGAGTTGGTGTAATATCAATGAAAGAATGGAATTGTCTGATCGCCTAGTTGTTGGAAGATAAAAACCACTTACCTACCATTGACATTTGTTTGTCAGTTTCATTTTCTTCTAATTCATCATTCACCTTGTCACCATTTTTGAAGTCTTTCGAGATATTGACACACTCAAGGTCTGATTCAACCATTTCAAGTTCTTCATCTGTTTCCAGATCATCGGAACTTAGCTCACTATTTTTGACATTTTCCTTCTTACCCGGCTTTGCAAAACATGATACTAACTGACTTAAAGTATCTTCTTCCTCTTCACTCTCTGAGTAACGAGACTGTTGAAAGCGTTGTTCAAATAGTTTTTTTTTTGAAAGTTCTTCTTCTACCTTCTGTTTATTCTTATAACGATTAAAAATTGCTTTTTTATTGACTATTTCTGGTTCTTTCGAAGACTTTTTTGATTTTTTGTTAAAAGTCTTAAAATTTTTCCTCCTTTTAAAAATTGTCTTTCCTTTGGCCATTTGTTTTTGTTCTTTGCAAATATTACCTGAATCTTTGTGCCAACACACGTTTCATGAATAAAAAATATACAACCCTGTAGACAAGTCCCTAAGTTATACAAAATTTCTATAATAATATTTAATATCAATTAGTAACCATATGAATTAATGTGAACACTGAATTGTACTTACATTCACTTTGCACTAGTAACATTAATTTAGAATTTTAGATAAATAACAAGTTACCGTACTTTAATTTTAGGTTAGTCGTTAGTCGACAACACAAGAAATTAGAAGTGGCCGATACAAATCGTATCAGATATGAAAACTAGATATTAGTACAATATCCGAATATCGCTTACTGGCTCGTTCAATATCTATGTATTTTATATTATCTGATATTTTCGAAATCTCATGTAACGTGCTCGCTCGCTATACCGACACGAAACGCGATATCATACGCGTTTGCCACAATATCTGATTTTTAAACAGATTTCGAGAGACAAAGCGAGTGAGATAAAAAAAATACTCACTAGTTAGAGCGGGACGGCAAGCAATGCACAATATCAGATATCGAGTGACAAAGCGCGTGAGATATAAATACTCACTAGTTAGAGCGGGACGGCAAGCAATGCACGATATCAGATATCGAGCGACAAAGCGCGTGAGATATAAATACTCACTAGTTAGAGCGGGACGGCAAGCAATGCACGATATCAGATATCGAGCGACAAAGCGCGTGAGATATAAATACTCACTAGTTAGAGCGGGACGGCAAGCAATGCCAGATATCAGATTTTTAAACAGATTTTGAGCGACAAAGCGCGTGAGATACAAATATTACACTAGTTAGAGCAGTACGGCAAGCAAGGCACAATATCAGATTTTTAAACAGATATTATGAATAAGTTAAATAATTTTGAATCTTAAAACCATACAGATAAGATCCGTTTCAATTAAATACTAATCATGGTATCAACGATTACTACAACGATATTTTTAAATATATTTTTATTGTTTTGTTTAGCCTTGAGCCGTAACGGGCGACAAAGCGCGCAGTTAAGTAATTTTGAATCTTAACAGCATGGAAAGAAACATTTTTAGTTGCATTTAAATACGAATTACGGTATTAACGATGTCTTTAAATTTTGTTTAACCTTGAGTTGGATTGCATTGGTACTTAACACGTAATGGTAAGGGATGCCAACTTACTACTTAAGAATTTTCTGCCTAAATTAAGGAAGAAAAATATAAATGGAAATTTTTTAGGAGGTTAATTTTTTGTGAATATTTTTATTAGTTAAATTTTATTCATATTTTTGTAAAAAAATAAAACTACACAAAAAGAAAAATATAATTTAATAGTGCTGTGCTGCTTGGGTGGAAATCAGACCAAGGTTTATGTGCTTTGTGTGTATATTTTAAATTCTTCCGCCCTAAGTTATAATACTGAATGTATTATTTCTTACACAAATTATGAAAATATTGTCACTCATGATTGCGTGTTCTAAGAATATGTTAATGTCAATTATTAAGCGATATATAAGATGTTAAAATAAATCATTTTTATATTACTTCAATTTCTATTTTTAATTAAATTTTTAATTTAATCAGGTAATGTTTTAATTTTACCTGAATAGTATAAAAAAATCGTGATTTTAAATTCAGTAAGTTTTTTGAATTTAGTCAATTGTAGTGGGTTTTCGAATTTATTTAGAAGTATTCTTTTTGAACAGTTGGTATCACTGGCAATAGCTTTAGTTATCTAGAGCTATAATGATCGTCGAACAAGACTATCGAGGAATAAAGTCAAACAGCTTACGTTCCTAAACGTGAATTGAAACCCGGAGGAATCTAAATAATTAATAATTATGAACCCACTCATAATTGTAAATATATAATGTTAAGTTTTAAATATCAGGAAAATTATGTACATAGAATGAATCAACTTTTAAATACGCCTGCACAATTTTTTTTTTTATTATTTTATTTTTTTTTTTTTTAGAATTCAAGGTGGATACGGGACCGTAAAATATCTAGATATTAAAATACATAGTTTCGAAATCTGATATTTGAAATCGAAATCTGATTCAGATACGGTACTCAGAAACAGCGATACGACCCATCTCTACAAGAAATCATGATTTGAATCATAGGAATAGCCAACTGCCCACAGAACACTTTTAGTCAAAGAGAAGAATGACGACTCCATAAAAATTTTACGCGGAATTTTTTTTTTACCGACCGGCGCCATCTGTATTCTGCCCAAAAGAACTAGTGAGCAAATGCTAGGGCGGGAATTTCAAACTAGTAATTTTAAAGGTATACTTGTACATAAATTGCTATATTTATTCATCTTTAGAGAGCAGTCTAATTAAACAAAAAAAAAAAACAATGAATTGGTACTTCACTTTTTTTATTTAGCATGATAATAAATACAACATATGAGATGTTCATTTATGTAACATATATTATAACAGACATACATTTACATGAATTCAAACATGATAGGGATGAGGCGTATATACTGGAACAGGTATAAATACCCAGTATGAACATACCAGTACGCACACCGGGTATGTACGGCAGAGGCCCGTTCCATACCCGATAGGTATGGCCGCCTCGTCCGACGGTGGCGGTATATACGCTCGCGACAACCCGCCGGCCGAATAGGTACGAAGTTCCCCGAACGCTTACGGCGGCTCTTCCCGATCATGTCCGAATTGAAACGTATGATTTAGGCATTTTATACCAAATAATTCCTTGACATAAATTTATTCTTTGTAATAAATAATTTAATTAATTAATAAAAAAATTGAATTACTTTTCTTTGATAATAGGGTTCTTTATGTTAGTAAAGATGGAGTTTATTTTAGACTGATTAAATCTCAATTTAAAAAACTGATTGCTAAAAAAAACATTTAAATGTTCCAATTCCAACCAAAGGTTCAATTCGTTTGATTCGAGCGCGTCTCCAAAAGGAGGCCTGAACATAACTAATACCTATAGGTATTTTGATACTGGGTTTTAGCACCGGGTATACGGCGATACCCGTACCTTTGAGGCCGGGTATAGAATGTTGCAGGTATATCTCATGCCTAAAACATGAGGTGTATTCATTTCAAGAAATTTGGTACAAAAATCACAAGTAAGTGGGTGTAATGATAATGAATCTCAAACATCAGCAAATTTTAAATACGCATAAAAATAATATATTTAAAATACAATATAAATGCCGCGTAATTTTAGATAGATTTAATCTTGTAAATATTAGATCAATAAAGAATATAAATGACATTATGCAGAAAATTTGAAAGTACAGAAAGTTATTCAGTTTAAGTATTTCAGACATCTTTACTCAAAATAAAAAATACAGTTTAACTTTCATAGTGTAAGCTTGTAGTCAAAAAGCTTGTCCTGTAATCACTCGGCGCTCGCACGGCAACATAGATATATAAGAATAATCTACTATTGAATGCAATTTTGACAAATAAAGTATTTTAATTAATACAAAGTTAAGTTCTTTATAGAGCGCCTAGTCATTGCAGATCTCACAGCTATTTGTTGTGGAGTTTTTATATATATATATATATATATATATATTTTGTTTTTGATGGAATTTATTTATGCATAATTCATTTTTTTTTGTAGTGCAGATTTACACGGGTCTTCAGAATACATTCTGTTTTATCTTAATGCTAATATGGAAGACACTGTTTATTATGTAACTTATTATATTTAAGTCTTTGTGCAAAATGCTTTGTTTAAGGAAGTCATAATTTATAGAGCTCTTTAATATCTTTCTTTAAAAATATATTTATACTTTATTTATTTTAGATATTTGCACTTTTTTCTACACAATCTAATAAATTCTTTGAGGCGATGCAAGAAATTTTTTTACAGACCTGTAAAAAAATCTCTTACATGTATTATTACATTCATGTCTGTGGCTGGCGTCAGAAATGTTTTAAAATTAGTAATTATGGCACTGTTGCTCACAAACTTTAACTGTTTTAATGTTACAAGTAAAATTTAAAAACGCTTCATTTTTTAAAAGATTTACAGTTTTTTGGGATCAATATACCTTGTTCATACTCCTTTTCAGTTTCTTTATTAATAATTTACTTTTACAAAAGCCACCTTCTTGATTTGAGGAGTTACGCACAAACATTTATGAACTTGTTGGAGTGATGATATTGGCATTCTGTTCTCTAAAGGGGTAAATTCTGGATGAACAGGCAACTGGTTCAAACACTGCAGTTTGTTCAGGCAGATTATTGTTGTATCCTAAAAGAAAATAAGAAAAACTTAAGCAAACCATTGTTAATATAAAGTCAACTAGTACTCACAGTACAGTTTTGGCATCAAAAAGAATTAATTGTTATGAAAAGTTTTAGTTTTTCTAACTAATATTTTACATGCCAAAGTGAGTTATCTTCACACGACAGCCCAAAAAATGGAGTGTTATGTTTTCAGGGTCTATGTATGTATGAGTTTATTTATTCCATCATAATTTTCAAATGCCTAAATAGATGTGGATATATGGGATATCATACATTGACAAAAGTAACAAAGGGTATACAAATTTCAAATAATTGTATAGTGCCCCTTATATACAACATAATGTCAGTGTTTCTCTGTAATAAAGGTGTTTTAAATAAACTCTTTAAGTGTTTATTGTACCAACCTTATGGGATTGAACATCAGGTACAGGTGATCTGAACAACTTCTTCTCATTAAAGCATGTGCTATTACAATGTTTGCTGCAAAGCACCTTATGTTTAGAATGCAGTCCATCCTGGAACTTTTGTGAAGACCTGTGTGGCTTCATTTGGGAAGCAAAATTTTGCCCATAATTCACACCTGAAAATTAAAAAATATTAAAATGACATACCATAATAATCATATTCCGGGTGGGCATTTTAAATTCGCATCCCAAATTTGGGGTTCATAAGGGTTGTTTTTTTTTTTTATAGGAATTGTTCGTCCTATTCAAACGACGCACCCCTCACCCTTAGAAAACGAGTAGTTTTTTATACGGCTTTGAAATTAGGTGCAACTGAATACCATTTTGCAAAGCTTAATACTTAAGCAAAGGCTATCAAATCAAATACATTGACAATAGTTGTGGTGTGTTATTCTTAATACCAAGTCGTTTAAAACTTATAGCAATGAAAGTACAGAAGTAGGTACATACCGCAGAGCATTGTTTGAGCCAGGCTTTGGGAAGTGACGCTGGGATCTTTAGATGGCGAAGATCCACACATGCAACATATTTTAGTGTTCTCTTTCTGCGAAGTCAATAATCATCGCGAAATTAACCATACACTTATTATTAATTAAACATACACACTTAATTCACCAAAACACAGTCGCGGAGGAGGAGGCAGCTAACGCTACTAATGTATGTAAAATCAAATGGAACTAGTTTATTTATTGCAAATAAACATTGGTGTAAACAAGTTAAAATGGTGCGCTCGCGACGGACATTTTCCTTTTTTCCTAACCTTGTGACGTCATGACGTCATAATAATATATATATTGTTGCCAGCCAATGCCTATCAATATCCCCAAATATTTTTTTTATTATGTAATTATCAGTTAAATATGCTATATTTCTTAATAAAGTATATTTGTTTCGAAACCCAAACAATAGCAAAAGATATCTTCGAGGGTATTTTACATTAAAAATCAATTTCTAACTCATTATTATGGAGAATAGGATGTTGTATTTTTGGTGGCAACATCATTTAAATGTCTAAATTCATCTCTTTTACTTTGTTATCGTTGTCTGTCTCTTGTTTTCTGGCCCTCATAGCCTGATACATTCTGTTCGTACAACAAAGTTGACAGGCCCTGCAACTGCCTTAGAAGTAGAACACAGAACAGTAACAGAACAGTTTTCTTTATTATTACTTTACTCTATGCCTTAGAAGAAAAGAAGAAGACTATTTAAGAATTGTGTTTATTACCTTATAATAATTGAAACTTAAATTTTCCGATTCCATAGTAATTTATTCGAATTTAGTAATATAAAATATTTGTGATAAACCATTAAAAATGATGCCCGGACGTATTGGTGGCATGCATATAGCTAATGAAAATCCTTTAGGGCTCTCTTGGCATGATTCAGCTTGGATTCCCCTATTGAGTCCTGCTAATATAATGGATTACTTTTCAGAAAAATCGAATCCATTTTTTGATCGCACTTGCAACAATGAAGTTGTTAAAATGCAACGACTGAGTATGGACCAACTGCAGTAAGCTAGAATTAATTTATTAAAATTAAAAATGAAATAAAATATCTTTGAAATTTCATAAATAATTCTTTTTTTCAGAAATATGACTGGTCTTGAATATATCTTATTACACGTGCAAGATCCCATTTTATATGTTATTAGAAAACAACAGAGGCATAGCCCAAATCATGTGATTCCTCTTGCTGATTACTACATTATAGCTGGAATTGTCTATCAAGCTCCTGATTTAGCTAGTGTTTTAAATTCTAGACTGGTAAGTAAAGTCCTTTTCGACATTATTTAATTTAATTTTTAACATTGTTTATCAACTGAAGGTAAATTATTGTGACAAATCTATATATCTTATTTATTGAATGATATTCACACTTTCATTGTGTGAATTATTAGTTTCATTGAGCATAAGGCTTGTGTTACAGCCAGATTTCTACAAGCAATTCATATGTAGAATTTGCCACCTGACCATGGAGGTTCAGTGGGAACCATGGTTCTGGTGGCCGTTGACCATTTTTATAATGTTGCTTTGCTGTGATCGAAGGTGAAGACTTATTTTGTACTGTGTAGTATTTTCAATGGGAAGAAAAATATTATATTTATGAAATATATATTTTAAAATTATTATTTCTGCTCACTGTTTTATTACTAGGTTACTGATAAATGTTTGCACCTTAATATAACAATTTATACAAATTTTGATACAAATAACACATTTCAATCCTTATCTGACAGTGGTAGGTCCATGCAACAACATTTGCTGTTGCACAAATGGACAGGTCTGTCCGGGTTAGAACTATAACCTCACAGAAGACCGGTGTAAAGTAGAAGTGTTGCACTTCTGCATTTCGTCTGGTGAATGAGGTAGCCGGGGCCTACATTATTAAGAGGTGGCAACACATCTGAAACCCTATGGGTGTTGCAAATGTCCATGGGCAGGCGGTTATCACTAACATGAGGTGAACCGCTAGCATGTTTGCCACTTTCTCACATTAAAAACATGTGAAAATAATCATTACAATGAAGTAGATAATTAAGATGTTTTAGTACTTATGTATCAATGCATCTGGGTACAGCTGATAAACTCTATTACTCATTCAAAACATTTACTTCTATTACAACTATTTAAGAATTTAGACCAATGAGAGAAAAAGGCTTTGAAAAATTCTAGCTATGATGATATTTATAACCTTATATTATTTATCATAACACTTGTATCAATAACAGTAATAGCTATAATTGACCATTTTTTAATAACAGTCTATAATTTTAAGCTATCAGCCGTGCATCATTTGCAGTGTTCATTTGAAGAAACTATGATGTATTCAAAATATCATCCTAGTAAAGGATACTGGTGGGATTTCAAAGCAAGTAAAACTGGTAAAGAGAATTTTTTTTTGATATATTAATTTCAAAAATTAATTTATTTAAAAGTAATTTTTTTTTGTAATATTATAAGCTGTATACTTATATTTCAGTATATATGTCTTATATATGATTATATATATTAATGTTTTGAAAAATAATATTTTCACCAAATATACAAATATATGTAAGAAAGTTTTCAGGTTCTAGTCCATACAATTCTGGGCAATCAGCTCCTAAAGATGTAAGTAGTACACCAAAAGAAGAACCTTCTACACTTTTCCAGCGGCAAAGGGTGGACATGTTGCTTGCTGAATTAGTGAGACAATTTCCACTTCCAGTAACACCAGCTATTTCCAATCAGGTGAATAATATATTAATATAGAGACTTTCTTCAAAAACACACAATATGACATCATAATTATGATAGTTAACATACATGAGAGTAAATAAGTAATAATTGCATGGCTAAAAGAAATTGAGAACAAAATCAATAGTTGAAATATAAACTTATTTTTTAGGCTATGTATCTGCTTCAGTAAAACATGTTATACAAATATCCATAAAAGTTTAATTCATTATCATATGTTTTAATACTAAACATATATAATATATTTCATATTCTACATTAATTTCAGACAAATGGTGTAACAGTGAAGACAGAAAATACAAATGAGAAAGACAAAGCATTAGATAACAATGTAAATAATATAACAATCAAACAGGAACCAGTAGACCCTATCAACACAGATATGACTAATGGCTCAATGCAGGGGCATATTGATATTAAAACTGAAATCAAACAAGAAAACATGAAACCACCACCAGAGAAGAAACCTAGGAATTTATAACAAATAAACCATGAATAATAACCAGTTAGTTTGTATTGCTTAATAATGTTCATTCTTTAATATTGAGCATCATAATTACAAATCTTGAATGTTTCCTTCTGGGATAACTTCCTAAGGTAACTAGAATGAATTTTACTTTGCTTAAGCTACTACTTTTGTCCACATTGAAATTTTTCTAGGCCTTACTAAATTCTGCTTATTTACTAGTTGCAAATGTTAAAAAATTAAAAAAATAATTTTTTATAATGATTTCAATTCACTTAAATGATTTAGACTCAATTATCTCTAGAAAGTCATCATTTTTGTCTTTTTGTAAGTTAAATAAATTTCCTGTATTACCACCCATGGATTCATTAAGGCAAATTTGACAATTGATCGATCTTCGATCTCTTACAATTACATTTTGTGTCGGCAAATCCTGTGCCCTAAAAAAGAAAATATATAGAATAAAAAATTTGTGTATTGTCCCTTAAATTAAGAATGTTTCCTAAATTAAGAGAATATTACTTAGCATCCATAATTCCTAAATGAAACCCAAAATTTATTCCTTGCTCGTATCCTGAATCAAAACTAGTTTGATATGTATTTGCTTCACCGTCATTTACGCCATCAGAGTATCCAACCTAATGGGATAATAAATAGAATAGAAAATAAAGTTAATAAATGAGATAAATGTTCATCATTATTAGACCTTGCTAATAGAGTCGACAGTTCGCATCCAAGTTCTAGCGGATATGCTACGGATTTCGTCAGTCATAATAAATATTTTAATAAAAAAATATATAGTAGTATTTTAATACAAACTTCAATAATTTATCATGACAAATTGACAATTGCCATCTGTCAAAACAGTCCAGTGTTTCCATACGAATTAACCTGTTACGAGAGTAAAAATACGGAGTTTTTAGACAAATTTACGGTGAATCTGGTGAAATTACCGTGTAATTTTTCAAATGAAAAAACAACATTTAGAACCAAATATATTCTTGATTTATTATACTTTTTTAATTATTAGACAAGAAAATTTAAATCACATATGAAACATTGAATTCAATAACCTACTCGCTTAAAAACGTAAAATCTCACTCTGTTAATTCGAAATTACGATTAGGGATGACGAAAGTCGATCGGTAAGTTCGAAGTCGGTATTTATAAAAATATTAATATCGGACTCGATATATCGAAAAAAAATATCGATATATCGTTTAAATTTTCGGTTTTAAAAATATAATGTATTTAGTTCAGTTTGATTCAATATTAAGTTATGTGATTTAACGGTGGTAGGGCCACGCAACAGCCTCGGCTGTTGCACGAATGGGCAGGTTAAGTGTAAGCCGTCCGGGTAAGTACCACGACCTCACAGAAAATCAGCGTAAAGTAGAAGTATGACAAATACTTTCGCGTTTTGTCTGTTGAGTGAGGTAGCCGGAGCAAAATTTTCAAAAGGTTGTCAACGCATCTGTAACCCTCGGGTGTGGCAGATGTCCATGGGCGGCGGTATTCACTTAACAACAGGTGAACCGTCTGCTCGTTTGACAACTTTTCGCATAAAAAAAAAGTAATTTATATACCAAAATCATATTAATTTTAATGAATGAGAAATTTTAATAAAACGTCAAGGCTAGATCAACAGAATTTTGTAATAGTTGTTTGATTTTCATGAAAATGCTGAATGACAATTTAAAGAAGTTACTTATGTGGTTAAATGATAATAATTTTTATGACTACTCTTTTACTCTACTATTTTTTTTATGAAAACTCGATATCATATTATGTGGAATTTGATTATAATTAAATTTTTGTTAACTTTATTTATATATTAAATTAAAGTATATTGATGCCATTAATATTTGGCATGCTATTTATAAATTAACAATAATATGTAGTTAAATATTAATGATTTGTAACACGTCTGTACCATGTTGTACCTAAGATATAAATAGTATAAAGTACGAAGCATAAAATTGTAGTATAACTATCATAATTATAGAGATGCAGAGTTACAAAATGTAACTCTGCATCCGCGACAATACCTACTAGTAATAGACCACAGTTTTTTTTTTTCAGTTCATTTTTATCTTTTACGGCTTTCAATCAATTTGAATAAAAATATCGTTTTTGATAGATTTCGATATTCAATTTTTTATACCGATATATCGGATGAAAATATAACGGCCAATATATTTTGAACTTAGTGCTACATAATAATGTTACAAATAACTACAATAGAACAATAGCATCAACTAGATTTTGAGAACCTGTATTTCGGCTTTCGGCGCCGTTACCTATATCAATTACGTAACGTAATAATGGTAATACAATACATACTTAATAAATGGTTGTATTGTGATGGAGGCTGGGTGACCATCTCAAAAATGGCGAATTTGCCCGACACTGGTAAAATATCTGCCAAAATCTGCCAACTTCCATAAAATGCCCATATGTTATTGTATTGTTGAAGACACTACAGTAAAATTAATGAAATAGACATTGTTTTGCATGAGGCATTGGATATCTTCTTCGTGGACGTTCCCATACTGCTGAGGATCGTAACTCATATTCAATTGGTCACTGAGCTCTATCCATCGGTTTCGCTCTGTCGCCTAGTGGAGTGCGGTACCTTAGAGGATTTCTAGGTTTTCAGAAATTTGATCCATCCATTGGCATTTAATTTAAATTTAACAAAAAATAAAACACATACAAATAACTCCAAGTTAATTAAATACTAAACCGTTATAAATTGCATTTAATGTCTTTAAGATAAGTCTTTAAGAACTATAACTGCTTATGTGCGTACCTATGTAATTTTAAAAGTTATAATTTATATATATTTGCATATAGAAAATCTGTCAGCTGTAATATGTAAGTTCTGACAAACAATATAAATATATATGTGTTGTTATCATCCGCTTTTTCTGTCGATTGTAATTTTCTCTAAGTAGGTAAGTGTAATTTGCTGGACCGGTGGTTTTCATTTGACATCTTCTTAGCGAGATTTTCGCAGATATCTGTCCCCGGACCTCGTAGGAACAACGACATGACGACGCCTTGATGCTCCGCTACATCGTTGGGACCCCTGTTAAGTTAATGAAAGATGGACAAGTCGACTAATAACGAAGGGCACGTTAACCCATTCGGGCTTCTGTTGCATCATCCTATAGACGACACATTGTTAAGTGGCGATGGAAAAATGACATTTATCTCATGTATTACTTATTAACTGTCTGGATCTCAAAGTTTAGTTATAACCGTGGCGGATTTTAAAATTAAATGCGTTTTTTGATCTGTATAAATATCAAATGTGTGTGGTGAAATAATGAAAAAAAATTACTTTAACGAAACATAACTGCATTCGTTGTAATAGCACTACTTTTCAAAGATCTTTATACATGCACACACTTTGCCCTACCTATTTACTTTTTGTAGACGAAACATTGGCGTAGATAGTTTGTCCTTATTTCTAGTATTTTGTTTATGTCTGTCACTATTCTTTAGATAATTATTGATAAAATGTTTAACATACAAAATATTACAATAAATATATTGAGAGGCAACAGTGAGTATATTAATCTCTTTAAAAAGATCTCGGAGTGTATTCCGTGTTTCGATGTTATAGATTGCTCGGACAGCTTTTTTTTGAAGAATAATTATAGAATTTATATCAGATGCACTACCCCACAACAAAATGCAGTACGACAAGATGCTGTGAAAATAACTAAAGTAAACAAGTCTGGCAGTGTCGAAGTCTGTTAGCTGCCTAACCCTTCTAATCGCAAAAACAGCGGAGCTCAGTCTATTCGCAAGAGATGATAGATGGGGACTCTACTGGAGCTTTGAATCTACTGTAATTCCTAATAATACAGCGGACTCAACAGGATTAAGGGTTACGCTATTTAATTTTAAACTAAAACTTTGCATTCTTACGCTGGGTACCCTTCCCTAGAGAAGGTATTTTAGTTTTTTTTAGCATTTAACACCATAATAATAAAGGTAAACCAGTGGAGGATACGCGAAAGTAAAGATATATTTCTTCACTTTCAGTATCCCTATTTTCTTATTGAAATTGAGTATTGAGTACCTGGAGGACCGAGCTTTGCTCGGTTTTTTTTTTTGTAAATCGTGTATTTTGAAAATTAAATTTAGATACAAATTACTGAGTAATGAAATATGCATAATATTTTTCGATCTTACCGGCCTAATAATAAGAAAATATGAAGTGGTGTTTTTCACAAAAGAAACAACTTTAAAAAAAAGGGAAGAAAATAACAAAATCATCTGGATTAACAAAAAGTAAAATATAAATAATGCAATGATCTGAAATCGAAAAAAAAGTAAAAAAAAAAAGAGTGTGTAAATGATCGTGACACGAACCACGGCCGTCTGTTTTGGGGCCGCCCGATTACCGACCGAGCTATTATAACATTTTTTTTGCGCCGAAATTTACCGTCATTTTCGATATTTTTCATTCCCTGAAAACACGGATAACTAAAAATTGTTGATTAGTAATCTCAGATTATACATACTGTGTTGATGTCAACTCTGACCTGTTTGGTTTATGTATTAATGTTTGAATTACTTTAAATTAAATTTGGAATGTTAGTTTTATTTGTTCAGACTGAATTGTGTCATGTTTGATGGATTCCGTAAAAATCTTTTGTAGAAGTAACATGTCTAGCTGTCTGACATAACTCTTGTATTTTATATAAATTTCATAATCATTACGTTTGGCCAAAAATAAGTTCAAAATTTTTAAGTTGAAATAAACTGTTTTCCTATCAGTCCTTAAGTGTCTTTTTGGTTTAAGAGCGATCCCATGAGCCACATCCACCATTCAAGAGGTTATGGGCCCAGAAATATCTATATTTTTGGAGATTTTCCAGTTTTTGAGCAAAAGTGGCAGCTGCAAAGAAATTTTCAAAGATGGACAAGCCCATCAAACCATTGTTATAAAAAGATACTACCATTCAAGACTGGGTAAAGGTAAATAACTTTAACTCCGGCGTAATTCAAATCAAATAAATTTTAAACGATAGAGATAAATCTCTAATGATTTAATCAACAAGCAGAATTCGGCGGTCGCTTATAGTTTTCGAGAAAAAAAAAATATTTAAAACTTGTTTTTTGTACTAAGAAATCCACCATTTTATTCGTTTGACTTCAAAAGTTCTTTACACAGTTCTGTCAACATGATAAATATAGGAAGCGGGCGCCATCATACACGTATCGATATTCCGATTTTTTAAATTTAATGAGTCACAGAACCGACACAGAGCGAATCCGACTCGGATAGATTAGGTTAGAAGGTTCAGGCGGGAGCGGAGCTCCCGCCTTAACCTTCGATGTTAGGTTTTTTTTTTTTATGACCACCAAGAAAAACGAGAATTGATATATTGACATCAATAAAAATGGCGGATTTATAAAGTAAAAATTATACTATTTCATTATTTTTTTTTTCGAAAACTATAAGCGACCGCCAAATTCTGCTTGTTGATAAATTCATAAGTGAGTTTTCTCTATCGTTTAAAATTTATTTGATTTGAATTACGCCGGAGTTAAAGTTATTTACATTTACCCAAGACTGGAAACAAAATATTATTTGAAAATAACTGCTGCAAGTTTTGAATATATTTTGAAAAAATAATGAACAGACTACGATCACGAGAGGAATTATTATCCATGAATAAAATGGAGGCATGGGTGATGAAGAAGAAACAATTCAAGAAGTAACAATTGACGGTGTGGAAAATGAAGAGTACAGAAACAAATGAAGTAGTTTGTGAGGAAACAGTTGAAGATGTGAGGAGCGTGAATTTTGTTCATAATCAGGATGAAGAAGTTGTAGAGAATAAAGGAGATTTTGATGGTTTTTTTTTTTGGATGCCAGTGGAGATAGACAGGAGGAGGTTGTTGCGGAGGGTGTGAGTCCAGGGAGGGATCCACCGAGAAATAGGTTTTTGTGAAGAGGAGACGGAGGTTGTTGCGGAGGGTGTTGGTCCAGAGAGGGATCCACCGAGAAGTAGGTTTTTATGAAGAGGAGATGGAGGTTGTTGCGGAGGGTGTGAGTCCAGGGAGGGATACACCGAGAAATAGGTCTTTATGGACGGGAAGACGGAGGTTGTTGCGGAGTTTGTGGGTCCAGTGAGGGATCCACCGATAAATAGGTCTTTACCTGAGAGGTATAAGGATTATTGTGGATTTTTTGGCTGTGTGCACTTTTACGTTTGGGGAGGCGGTTGGCTCTGGTGAGACGGAGCGATAGTTGATGGCTGTGGAAGAGCAGAGGTTTTTCTTTGGAGAGGAATGGCGCGTGGGAGTTGGTTGGTGAAAAAGAGGCTGAAGGGGAAGATTTGTGGGTTGAAGTCTTTACGATCTAAAACAACCTGCTTTGATGTCACACATTGGTGTTAATGTCTTGATAGACGTTATTAAGAATTTTAGGTATTTTCATTCTAAACCTTTTAGTGTAGGTAGTGCTAATGTAAGGGGGTGTTAATAATAGAAATTCGCGCCGTGGAAGCGTGTGTATGAGATATTAGTAAGGAAAAGGATCGGAATTCAAAACGGAATGTTTCGGAGAAACTTTTTTACAGAATTTTTGATATCTCTTCCTTTATAATGTATTGTGTTTTGTTGTATTTTTGTGGTTTGAGTTATTGTTAAGTTTTTGTTTTTGTTGAGAGATTGTTATTGTTGTTTTATGATTGGGGATTTGTTTGTTGATAATTTCTAAAATTTTTGGGTTTTCTTTACTTGTCTGGTGTTATGATGTATATCTGAGATTAAGGGGGTGTGTTGATTAGTAATCTCAGATTATACATACTCTGTTGATGTCAACTCTGACCTGTTTGGTTTATGTATTAATGTTTGAATTACTTTAAATTAAATTTGGAATGTTAGTTTTATCTGTTCAGACTGAATTGTGTCATGTTTGATGGATTCCGTAAAAATCTTTTGTAGAAGTAACATGTCTAGCTGTCTGACCTAACTCTTGTATTTTATATAAATTTCATAATCATTACGTTTGGTCCAAAAATAAGTTCAAAATGTTTAAGTTGAAATAAACTGTTTTCCTATCAGTTCTTAAGTGTCTTTTTGGTTTGAGAGCGATCCCATGAGCCACATCCACCATTCAAGAAAAATGACCATAGAGGCCTACTGGCTTGACTGATTGACAGTAAGCACTAGGCATTGAAGCAAGCCTAAAAATCTTTGAATTGTTTTGTCTTTGTGACAATGACAATGGCGACTAAGTCAAATGTAGTGCCGATTGTGTTATCTTTCGTTGGCTAAAGCTTCTATATTTTAGTAAACCAAAGCTCATTAAAGCGTTTGTTACGGGATAGTAGAGAAATGAAGATTTTCAAAAAGAATAACCTGTTATTTGTGCAAAATTTTCTCAACTTAGTCGTTTGTAATTGTGTAAACAGTGCAATTTATTTGTAGTATGCTTTGCGTACGATAATGAATGGTATCAATAGCGTTGGCCCGCCGTGTTCATCAATTAACAATTCTGAATCTAATATAAATACAAATCCATCTAGCATGAAAGTCGAAAATATAAATGGTCCTACATCATCAAAAGAAACCCGTGACAGTTCAGAAGACCTCCTTGATCTCAAGGGAAAAGTCGAATCACGGTTACTGTCAATATGGAATAACGTAAAGTTTGGTTGGACAGTAAAACTGAAAACTACTTTTTCGAAAGAGTCGCCTGTATGGCTACTGGGGCGATGTTATCACAGAAAATTAAGTCCAACTGGATCCCTGGAATCTTCTACCGAAATCGGGACTGAAGCAACCGCACATGATCCCATGGAACAGATATATGGAGAAGGTATAGAGGGCTTTAAGTCAGACTTCATAAGTAAAATATGGATGACATACAGAAGAGAATTTCCTATCATGTCAGGTTCCACATTTACTACAGATTGTGGATGGGGTTGCATGTTGAGAAGTGGGCAAATGCTTTTAGCTCAAGCTTTGGTCTGTCATTTTCTTGGACGCTCATGGAGATGGTTACCAGATAGAAATATACAGAATGCTAGGGAGTTTCAAGAGGATTGCCTTCACCGAATGATTATAAAATGGTTTGGAGACAAGTCATCTGTTAACAGCCCTCTTTCCATTCATCAAATGGTTAATTTGGGGGAAGCTTTAGGAAAAAAACCTGGAGATTGGTATGGGCCTGCATCTGTAGCGCATTGTTTAAAATCTGTTATGGCTGCAGCATCCAAAGAGAATTATGAGTTTGATAATTTAGAAGTGTATGTAGCTCAAGAATCAACAGTTTATATTCAAGATGTTATATCACTTTGCCGTCTACCAAATGGCCTTTGGAAATCCTTAATATTATTGGTACCAGTGAAGCTTGGGACAGACAAACTGAATCAAGTTTATGGTCCTTGTCTAACATCACTACTAACTTTAGACTTTTGTATTGGAATAATTGGGGGAAGGCCTAAGCATTCATTGTACTTTGTTGGATATCAAGACGATAGACTTATTCATTTGGATCCACACTACTGTCAAGAAATGGTTGATGTTTGGCAACCTAACTTTTCATTGCAATCATTTCATTGTCGGTCACCACGTAAGATGCCTATAAACAAAATGGATCCATCATGTTGTATTGGTTTCTACTTGGCAACACAGCATGACTTTGAAACCTTTGTAAATGTTATTAAATCATTTCTAGTCCCTCAAGGTATGTCCTCAAGTAATGATTACCCAATATTTACAATTCTTCATGGATCTAGAAGTACAATCATGAATCCACCTCAAATACGGTACTCCATATATGAATCTGAGCCAAATTGGAGTACTGCAGTAATGCATGACAGTGATACTGATTTGGAATCAGAAGAATTTGTTCTTGTGTGATGTGAACAATTTACACTAAACAAAAAATAGTACTGTTAAATATTATATTACAGTTTAATATAATATTTAACAGTACTATTTACATTTACAGAGAAGTTAAAATAAATAATATGATATTAATCTTAATTCTGATCAGAATGTACAAATATAAAAATAATTTAAAATAAAATAAAAATTTAAAAAAATGTTTGAAAGGAAGCTTAATATGTTACAGCGCTCAAGTTGCAAAATTGACAAGTTATAAAATACCAAGCAAATCTGATTTTATATACATTAATGACATTATGCATTAATAATATAAGCATTAAAGTATAATCTCTTAAGTTTGCTGTTACCAAAGAACCAAAGTAAATGATATATCTCTTAGCTGAAGAAGCTATGAAAGTGTATTCATTAAGTTAATAAAATATTTTATATAGTTTCTTTGGTTTTACAATATTTTCACAGAAATCTTAGAATATATCCTAATTAAAGCGAGTACTTAAATAGAATTATTGATTGGTAAAGAAAATAATTGAAATAAAAACTTATTGTTTTGATGTAAATTATTTGTATTTCATTTGAAGCTGCATATAATTAGGAGTGCTGTATTCCAGTCTATAAGTATTGAATCTAAATTTTATTGAAATAAATTTGAAAATTCCATAAAAATCCATAATAGCTTTATTTCTTCTGTATGCTTAAACATAAAATCCAAAACATGTGGAGCTTAATTTTCATTTCTTTCTAGAAATCTTTCTTTTTAAAATAATCCATTGCATTGTACACACAATGAGGTGCAATATTATGCAATGGATGTACTGTTTTGAGTTCATTGCGTGGTGTACCTACAATAAAGGGATCACCCACACTTGTGCCATGCTGTGCCACGGATAATCCACTTAATGTGTAGCAAGTATGGTAAATATCACGAGGCCTGTAAAAATGAAATATAATTAAGATTAGAAAAATCTTAATATTACACAAGAATGGTTTTGGTTTTTCATTTTCTTTAATCCTTGAATTGGATTTTTCCCTTGTATATATATTACACAATTTTGTACACTGCAATGATACTTAATATAATGTATATATAACATTTGCTCTCAAAAATTTTATAAACATTTCACATAATTAACATTAATATAAAGTCAATATTGATTGCACATCTACAAAAACATCATTATAAAATTTAAGAAATAAGTACTTACTTGCCAGGCTTATCAATGAGCCCTCCATCGGGTGATTGACAGCATATTATGATGTACTCTTGCAAAGCACCTTGATTGAATAAGACTGTTTCCACCAATTCTTTATTTTCTACAATAAATATCAAATACTTTTAAATGAAATGATTTAGCATAAGACATTAACATGTTTTTTTTAATTAATTACTTACCAACCTTGGGAAAAAATTGCACTTATGATTGGAAAAATAGCACCTTGCCAAAAAGAATAACAGCCATCAACTAGTTTGTTTGTTCGACCTTGAAAACCTCCTTCAACACGCATTTGCCTATTTACACACCATCTAAGTAAAGCATCTACATCACATAACTGTGTCCTGTTAAGAAGGCCTAATGCTGCAACCCCACAAAATGCATAGCCCCCATGGGCCTCCATCCCAGGGCATCCAGCAAATCCACCTTCATAAGTCTGACAGCTAACAATCCATTCAGCTGTTTTATCAAATAAGGATTCTGTGTATATATTTGTAAGTTTCGATACACTGACTGCACAATAAGCTCCTCTTATGTCCTGCTCTCCACCTTTATGGAGTGCAAAAGATCCATCAACATTTCGCATTGTCCATAAAAAATTCTGTAATGATTTTCTGTTGATAGAAGCATAAGCTTCATCAGTACCTATAATGCATAAAGCATTAATAGCTGCATATGTTGTACCCAAATGGGCAAATTGACTAGGCCCACCACCATAACCACCATCTTCATGCTGGCAGTGGGAGATGAATTGCACAACATCAGATAATATCTTTGCATCTGGTAAATCATTTAATGTCCATAAGGCATGTAATATCCAATATACAAGCCATGGTCTACTGGCTTCCAAGCACCTGTAACTTTTGGGCAAATGTAGTAACCAACCTTTTAACAATTTACTGTGCACATTCCTATGAAGTTTTGGTAAGTTAGGATCAATTGATGCCTTTGATTCAAAGTGCCTAAACATTTTTACAATCACAGTTTCTACATCCATCTAAAAAGAAACACTAAATTATATTCAATACAAGATAAATTATATGATATATTGTATTGATCTAACCCTAATGAACAGCATTTAACATGGCCATTACAGTAGAAAGTTAAAAATTATTGGATATTACCTGCTCTGAAGATGTGTTTGTTACAATATTCTCATCGTCATAAATTTCTGCTGCGATGTCGCTTAAAAGTCGTATTTGATTTTCCATTTTATTTATGTTATATATATTATTTACAACTTTTTAATACAGTAAATTCCATACATAGTCATTTTGACTAAGTTAACTCAAAGCTAAGAAACGCAAGCATCAAAACGAAGAAAAAATAATAACCTAAAACAACGTTTATATTTGCTACTTATAAAATAGTTTGTGACTACTTGTGATTATGCAGTAAGCTAGTACGCCTGAGCTCTGCTGTAATTGATTAATAAAGACAAAGCAGGGACGTTAATCTTAGAACAAACTGGCAGGTCGCTGGAGAATAAAAGGATATGAATTTTAAACGATATGTTCATTCTCTATCATCATTGTTCAAATCAACCCTTTTTAATTTAGTAGTATAGTAGTGATAATTTTAGAACTGGGAAATAGAGATGGAGCTAAAATCGCTATTAAATTACTAAAATCAAAAGTCCCGAAGTACTAAACTTCAAGTGTCATATTGTAACTCTTTAATTTATACTCATTATAGCCATCTAAATTGAGCCAGTTTATTTGATGATTTCCAAAATGGTAGTTTTAAAATAAAGGCTATTGGCAATGGATTTATTTTATTTTGTAGCATTATCATTTCGTATACAGTGCTATTGTAGTACTACTTATTTTAAGAGGTATAATACATATATCTTTCCTGTAATAATTACTTTAAAATAATTTAAAAGAAATTCTACCAAAAAACTTGGTAGTTATCTTACTGTTGAGCATGCTTGATTGAAATTTCAAATTAAAAATACAACTGTCGTGGTCGCCGAATTCAACGTACCTCGCCTCGTAGTCCTTTCCTTATTTTATTTTCCTTCTTTTTGCATTGTTCTAGTGCTCCTCGCCCTCTTATTCAGTGTCTGTGGATTTATTTTCCTTCATCCCACAGGTACGTGCTGTTGAGTTGAGATCCCTCCTCCGGTACGTGCTTTAGTGTAATCTTTTTGTTCTGTTCCCGAACGTTTTTTGTGTTGGAGAAATTGACTCGTTGTTTGTGAGAAATTGACTTGTTTGTGAGATAGGACTCTTTTTGTGAGATAGGACTCTTACTTGTGAGACACGACTTTGATTACAATATGGCTTCAGATAAAAAAATGTTGTGTGCCTGGATGCCTGGAAACCGGTGGTAAGTAAATACAGCATTATATCTGCTACTTGGCACTTACGATGGACTTGAGTCTGGAAAAACAATCGTTAAAAGTAAATATAACCATTGTCTCTTTCTATTTTATTGCTTTAGAATGTAATTATGTAAATCTTCAGCCGAAAGGTGAAACAATATTGTTCTATACAACTCATAGTGTTTAACCTATAAAACTGAAAAAAATAATTTCTCGAAAACTATAAATTTCCGCAGAAAGTCGTACGGGGTGCTACTCCAATGGCCTTACTACTTACTTATTAAAATTATAACGAAAATCGTACAAGTATTTACTGAGATATCTTGAAACAACTCATCTTTTGTTTCAGAAACACTTCATGCTTTCCCAAACCCATTAAAGGATCTTGAGCGCTTTAAAGCCTGGTATACATTGATTGGTGGACCAAATTTGCTTGGCTTAACAAATGATCATATTTACAAGTATCGACGTGTATGCCATGCACATTTTGAGAAAGGGTTTTGTTGTCGATACAATAGAATATCAAAAATTGCAATTCCCACCTTAAAAATGCCAGTGCAATTTTTTTATTTTGATGTAAGAAGGTACTGATACTTAAAGTTAGTAGGTACCTCAGACGTGTGGTAGGTACTATTTACCTCGAGCAATTAATTTCAACACAAGGTTGTCTTGGCAATGAGTAGAGTAAAAATAGAAGTACCCTCAATTCCTCTCTTACAAAAGTTGGCAAATATGATCTATTGGCTAAGCTCATGTACTAGATATTATTGCGTTAGGCCTAAAATTTATAAATATGGTTAATAAAAAATAAATAAATAATCGGATTTATAAATATGGCACCAAAAGTATGTAATGTGCATTAATTTAGATACAATTAAATCAAATTTAATTTTCTGTAATGTCAAAATATTATTATATACTATATATATATATATATATATTGTATATTGGTTAATTCCAGGGTACAATGATTGTAATATTGAGCAAAGGTAGTTTGATTAAATGAGTTTGTTTGCAACCTTGTCTGTGCAAAACTATTGTATCAGTACAGATTTTATCTTATATGTTTTCATTTTACAATGTATAAACATACGTGTAAAAACAAGAAATTAATAATTTCTTTTATAGAAAGTACGAGGACGAAAAAAAGAATATATAAAGCCACAACTTCAGAAGACAAGATCCTTCGTAAAACTGTTGCTGCGGCAAGAATAAAGTTGAGCAAATATAAAAATATAATTGAAAAACAAGCTGCATCAATTAAAGCTACAAAAAATATATTAACAAACCAAAAAGTTCTTAAAGCCCTGGACAACCTGCCAAATTCCGGTAAAATACTCACAATACTGCAGTTTCGTGAAAACAAAAAGAAGAACAAAGGAAGAAGATTTACATCCAGTGAAAAAATTATTGCCTTGTCCTTATTAAAAAGAAGTCCGAAAGGGTACCGCCTATTAAAAATATGTTTATACTTCCGGCCCCTCAAACCTTGATTAAACTAATTAACAACGCAAATATTCAACCTGGAGTAAACCCCATCATATTTTCTCGATTAAAACAGCAAGTACAGAAAATGAAGGCGAGGGAAAAATTATGTATTCTGTTATTTGACGAAATGGCTTTGAAAGCAAATGACAATGCCAGAAAATGTATGGAGCTATGCCCCACTTATTAAAATTCGTTTACAAGCATGATTAATGCGGCATTTTATTGCTGTTTTATAACTGATCACTAAACATTTAAACATACGTCCCTAAAACTTGCGGTTTCGTTTTAAATCTGAGTTGAAGTTTCAAAATTATTTGAGGTTATATACTTTTATAATGGTAAAACTGATAAAAAGAAATGCTATTTTGTTAAAAGTTATTGCCAAAACCATGGTTATGAAATGAAGTAGGATACTCAAAGTAGAATGAACTACGTGACCACGATACGTGCAGGCTTTTTTGTATGGAGAGTATATGAAATGAGCGACCGCGATGCACGACACATTAACCATACACTTACACTCATAGTCGATGAAGCGACGCGCAACACAGCGTGTTACGTATCTCGATGGCGTAGCTTAAGATCTATCTTAATTCTTAACTGTATTACTAAGTAACCTTGTTCTATCGTCTTTAACGATATGGTAGACTGTTAGGACTGATTGGAAATAAAACAACCCCTTAGTAATTATTGATTTATTCATCTCCAAAAGTAAATAATACGTTATCGAGAAATGCTGCTGGAACATCAATATCATTTTGATGACGAGCCCAGCCCAGGTAACATATAAGCGTCATTACATGACAACAACAGCCGAAGGTTCTATTGCCTACAACAGAACTGCAGCAGTATCCCAATATCTGGTCAAACGCATGGATACTGCTAGGCTCTCTGTCGAATAAAATATAAGTGAAATAATGCCTTTGGCCAATATGCCTCGACTTAACTCGGCCCCTTATTAAAAATGAATAGTTACCCCCAATACTATTAGTCATTTCTTGTGAGTGCTCCACTTCTGGACTCACCTCTATTAAATAGAGACCATGTTCCCTTATATGCTCCCTATAGTAAGAACGGGCCTGTTTAATTTGATATGGCCCTAAGGCCATAAGTGTTAATTCACTTAAACTAAACATGGGAAACTGCTGCAGTTGTGTTAGATTTCCATCAATCCTTGTAAAGATGGTTCTTCGTCTATTTAAATTATATTCTTGGATGAATTGTGCTAACTGATTCGTCTCATTATAGTAATGTAATGCTCTTGATATGATTTGGTGTGCATCTGGTCGATCCTGAATCAATGGATGAAAACGGTTAATCAAAGCCGCTACAATTAATAAATCATTGCAATAAACCATTAAATGCAAAGAACCCCTATTAAACAATCTTGCCTAAATAACTTAAAATAATGTTTTAATCAGCCATTCACCACCTCAACAACCGATCTGCATACTGTTACACAGCGGCTTTTGTTTGCCTGTAATGTGGTTAATTGTGTTTCACCTTCATCCACTGATTCAGGCTTGCTTACTTTATAGCCATAAGATTCTAAGGCCGGTATGCTATCTCCAAAACCCCTATCTAATATAAAAATATCATTTTCTCTAAAAAAATTACCTCATTTTCATTTTCAAATAATTTCTGCATTATTTTAGCATCAGTTTGTGTTGCTGCATATGGGCCTGACATATCAATCATATAACCATCACAGGCAACAATGAGAAAAGACTTTATTAAATTATTATATTTATGTAAACTATAAGTTTTTTTTCTGGTAAAAGTAGCTACTTTTTTGAATAAAAATGTATGTGCCGTCACAAATAGCTATAGCTGGCATTTCTCTTGGAGCAATTAGATTAAGTAGCTACTTTTACCAGAAATAAACTTATAGTTTACATAAATGTGGTCAGGCATCTCATTTACATTTTCATTTGTGTGAAAAATTTGTCCTAATATAATAATATATTTACATTTTCAAAATCAAATAATTCTGCATGTCTTTCTAAGATTCGAATTAAATCCTCTATTTGTTTAGCTGTAAAGCTGTTAGTTAAATTGCTGTTATCATTCAATGTGGCCCATACATTGGCATATAAATGTAATTCACAGACACATGCACTCACTGGCACATATATGTGATATTGCTTGAGAAGCATGATCTTTAAAAACAAAGGAATTAGGTGCCCAGATTGATTTGCACAGCTTTGAAAAATACAATGTCTTGAAGTATTCACTGCATGTTTATAATGGGGCAGAAAAATAAATCCGTTGTTAAATACCATTGGAACCTCTTGATCTTGAGTTGGAGATGGTGGTGGAGGTAGTGGGGGAGGTGTTCCTGGTAAGAAGATCACAATAGTGATCTGTCTCTGCTTGTCTCTTAAAGCGTCATGTGAT